TCGCCAATGTCTGCTTTCGCATTTAGCGAGTTACCTAGGTACACAAAGGAATTTACTTCCTTAACTTTTTGCCATTAGAATAGATATCAATGGATCCTTCTCCATTCACTACAACCATCTCGGTTTTTTCAAATGATATCTCCAACCCTGTATATTGGACTTCCCGAGTCATAGCTTCAAATTTTTCTTGTGCTCCCTCAATTGTGCCGGACATAATCACTAAAGCATCGGGATATGCAAGGTGTTTGGTATCTGAGCCTCTTTTCACAGTTTTTTTTGCACACTTCGTCAAAATAGATTGAAGAGAGTGGGGCCGATTACACACCATGTCTCAATCCTCTCTCAAGCATGAACTTGTTCTTTATGTCTAATACACCTGCAGCTCAAGCAGCTGCCAAATGATGCAACTCAGAAGGTTGCCTACTTTTCGTTTTCTTAGGGCTGCAAACAGTGCTGTCCTGTCCACCGAATCAAAGGCCTTCACAGGATCTATAAAAATCAGTATCAGCTTTTTCCTCGCTTCACGGCTGATTAGGCTGATTATTTGGCATCTCGTTATGCCTTTGGAACTTCTGCTGTTACTTTTCAATTCTTTCCAAAGCTTGCCGCGATGACTGTGAATACTTAGTCCTGCAAGGCTTTGAGTAGATCAGCCGTAATTTTACTCTGTCTTGGTGCTTTTCCTGAAGACAGTGATTTGATTCCCAGCTTGATTTCTGCATTTTTTGGGTTGTTGAGCAACTTGTCTGGTGCTTCATCTAGTATCAACTCCTTGAGGTCTGCACCAAAGACATTTCTTTCTTTGAGGAGCGTTTCATAATGCAATTGAAATTGCATGCTGCTTGGCCCGGAGGTTTTCTTGGCTCGATCAAAACAAATCAAGTGGTAAAGTTTCAGAGTTTCCCCTAAAAATCCAAATGGTTCTTTTACAGAGTTTTCTGAAGACAAATTTTCAAAACGACGAAGATCTGGTTCAACTGCCCTTTTCTTGCAGTCAATCAGGATGCGTTTAACTTCGCGATTGAGCGTCAGGAGCCTTCTTTCAGTTCAGGCTTTCTCTGCGCCAAAAATATCTTGAAGATACACTTCCTTTCAGAGATTTTCTCCTTTTCCGCTTTTTACAGGTCAGCTGTCCAACAGTCTGATTTGACCAGAACGTTTGCTCTAACGACTGTTCTTTGATCAGTTGTTGCAGAAGCTGAGTGAAGTCTTCTGACTTTGTCATTGATGAAGGCTCCTCGCTCAACCGATATCTGAGTTTTTCTAATTCTCTGGAACAGTTTAGGATCAGTTCAATTTTTCTCCTCAGGGACTCTTCCTTTTTCTGACCCTCTTCTCCTTCCTTTTGCTCTTCCTCACAGTTTCTCTTCCTATCATCGCACGATACGAGTGAAGGCTGTATCCCCATGAACTTCTCCAATCAATCAATTAAATACTTTTCTGAGCTGATTTTTTTTCGGCAAATGTGGTCAAAATCTTTCAGAGACAAAAACCGATTCTTATATGCCTCTGTACCGGATCATGCTCCTAGCTTCGGTTTTTAGAAAAAGGTGTTCTCGACCAGTATGTTGTTCTCCACGCACCATTCACTTAGCAGCATTCTTTTCCTACAGGTCTCATTGGCTATCATAAGCGATTCGACCGTTCTTGGCTTGATTACGCTTGTTTCTCCGCAAAGTGCTGCGTTAAAGTCCCCTAGGACTATGAGCGATTAGTTGTCCTCTCAGTCGACTTTTGCTGTAAGTGTCATTGACAGCTCTTCTAGGAATTCGAGGTGCTTTTTTGTCCGCATTTTTGATGGGGGCATAAGTTGAAACAAGTTTCATTTTTGGCCCGCAGACTTCAAACCAGACTACAGCGATTGTTGGCGAAAGAGCTGTAAACTTGACACATTTGACTGATGATCCAATCAAAATACCAACACCCTTTTCTGCTCGTTTCTCAATTTTTCCAACCCACTTTGGGCAAGTATGAAATTGTCATAGCGCTCAGATCCTCTGAGGTGGGTTTCAATTAAAGCGATCAAGTTTATCTTCTTTCCTATCATCACCGTAGTCAGGGTATCCAAGAATTCATCCTGAATCGTACTCCTGCAGTTCCAGTGTGCAATCTTGAACTTCTGTTCCTGTACAGAGGGCCTTTTAACCCTTTGACTCGGTCCGCTGACAGAGGAACTGCCTAAGGTACCGCGATTGTACGGTGCTCTCCCGCACTTCCTTTTCGAGATCGATCTTTTCGGTTATTTTGCTGCCATGATTACTTTTGCAGGTTTTTTGGTTTTTCACCTTATGGTATGCTCCCTTTCTGATCCACACGATCACTCACCATTACCGTTAGGGCTGGTCTTTTTCCATCTAGTATCCTTTTTTCCGTCTATATCCCGTACCTTTTCTTGTTGGTAAAATTTTGCACACTCAGGGCTTTATTGAAATTGAGTTTTTGGACAGAAGATATTTTTTTGCAAGTTTGCAATTACTTTCCATATACTAGGATGCTACAGATCGAAAAAAGACTTCTTGCCACAATGCCAGCCCTGCAGAGCGTTTGTTGGTCTGGCCAAACCGGATGAAACCTCATCATTTTGATTCCACAGTGAAATGGGATAAAGGAGTTCTCGAATCTGTACAAGGTTTTCTAGGTAATTGGCTCCGGAATAGAAGCATAGCTTGACGGTTTTGCAATTTGCTGTCTCTTGAACAGTGCGATCGCATTTTGTTTGAGCTTTGCAGACCAGTTTTTGTTTGAATTTTTTTTTTGGTTTTTTTCCATCAGCCATTTAGGGTAATATTCGAAGAGCTAAGAAACTCGTGATTTGTTTGGTAGTCCTTTCTAAAGCCGGTTTCCACAATCTTTTCTTAAATTTTTCTGAAAGTTGAAAGAAAACTCCAGCATTTCTTTTACAGATTCACTGTCACGGGATAGTATTGATAGATCTTCTAAGAAATGGTGGGAGTTTTGTTTGTGGTATGTGGTAGGAACGAATACATCCAAACAGGTCTATTCGAGAAAGACTAAAATGTAAAGAGTGAACTCGATAAAACATTTTCGAGATGATTTTGATTTTTCCGTCAGCTATCCAATACTTAGTTTTCTCTAGCACACTTAGCAATTCAGGGTCGCCTAATAAAGCAATCTTCTCGTGATTTTTTGTGCACTGTTAATTCTGAAGCTTTTTTGGAAAAAACTGGTTTTTCAAAGGTTCTGGTTGTTGGGGAGACCGGTAAAACCTGTTCTCCTTGCTTGTGCACTCGTGGCGCAAGTCCCGTGGTGCTCATTTGGTAGGGCTAGTTGAATGGTTATGTGATCCTTCCAAAAAATTGTTTCACCACCTGTTTCAAAAAATTGCTTGATGTTGCTGGTCCTTCATATATGATGTTTTACAATATAAATATGGATGTTTATCTTCTAGTAACAAAATTATAATAAGCACAATATAACAAAATATATATATTTTTTCGTATACTGTTATATTGTACTTGTTATAATTTTGTTACTCTTTGTAATCTTTGGCGTGTGGGGGATGGTTTTCTAAAAAAAATCGCAATTAAGAAAAAATTCTTTTCATTTGAATGACACTTAACTTTTTCATGTTATTACTGCTTCATAGCCCTTAAAAGGCTGTCATAACATTCAGTACTTCACTTTGATACGAGCAGTCTTGTTTCTATTGCTCATTAAGTTTCCTTAATGAAGATGCTATGTCGAACAACAATCCAATTTTTTTCAGAAGATTTTTTAACAGAAACCGTTATGGCTGATTTAGTCTATTTTTGGTCTTTTGTTGTCAAAAAGGGTAAGCTAAATAAGTAGATAATTTTTTTTTTCAATTCCTTTCGCCTTTTGAATTTTCTAAATGAAAAATGACAACAAAAAGCAGCAACTCCACGTCTTTGAGTCCAGAAATATGCTAAAAATCTGTTAATAAAGTCGTACTGAAACATTTTCCATCCTACGAAAGCAATAGGTCTCAACAGTATAACACAGCAAAACTCAAAACTCCTTTCATAAGTTTTTCTTAACGGTTTTGAACAATCTAAATTAAATTTCAACGGCAATAGAGAAAATGAATTTGTGGACGGATTTGAGAAAATGAATTTGAGAAATTGAACATGTTTTCCTTCATACTCTTTTTAATGTAATTTATCCTCGAAGAAAAAGATGAGCTTGCTTCAAGTCTTTGAGTGGAATCAAGGCTCCTTTCCATCCCCCCCCCCCCCCCACTTTAAAAATACCGAGTTTTATGTTTGTTTTACGTGTTATTACGGCTAAATGCGTGATGTTACGCTGTAAAGTATGAGGAACAAATCTGTTCACAGCTGTCGATTTATTTACCACGCCCAATTTCATTGCATTATGACAAGGTTAAATAGACTTTTCAAAATTGAATTTGAAAGGGGGAAACTGGAAAAGAGCCGGAATCACATTGTTATGATGTTTCGTAGGAACATTGTTGCCTTACCTCGACCGTCGAGCAACGAGCATGGATGGATCATTGTGGGCCTCGAAAGACCATTTTTTTTTAAGTTAACCTGACAGAGGCGGCCTAACCCGGAGGCCAATAACTTAAGGTTAACTAACCCATGGTTATCTTACAAGAGCTCACCTGGTATTTTCAGCGCACGTGCGATTTGGACCCGCAATCATATGATTATTGGCCGCGATCTCTATCACTACCGGGGCGCCACAACTAAAGATACAAAGACCTTTTTCACTCAGTGCTTATGGAATAGGAAAAAGTCATAAATTTAATGTTCATTTTGATGACCCAAAATTAACGTGTAGCGTAATATCCTGAATAGGACTCAACGCAAGGATTTGACATGAAAATTGGGAGTTGGCACTAGGGAAGTCTGTAATTGGAATCTCCTAACCACATTACCTCATTTGATTACCACATTACTCCATCCGATTTCACACATATTTCATTTCATTTTCACTTCTCCTGACATTCAGAGATTTTTACCCGAGCCCAAATTCACCCTAAACTAAAACAAATACAGTCTACACTTGAAATCGGACACGAAGCACGCTAAAAGGTAGATTAGGTAAGAAAGGGTGCCCACTTTAAATCAATCTCAATCGTAATCCTTAGGCCATTTTCTCAATTGTCAGGCATGTATCAGAGACGAAATACAAAAAAAAGAGGCTACGAAACAAATTAATTGGTGGCTCACAATTTAAAAATACCGTTGGAAAAAGGTGACTTTTTTAAAATCAAATGTTACGCCAGATTTAAGCGTTTTTTTTCCTAGTAAAAATAGATAGATAATACGTCGAAAAAGAAGAGAAAAACATCCCATTGGAGCAATTCTTCATTTTGTTCATCAACTGTTAATTTTTTTCACTGATTTCAGTTGCGAAAAGAAAAGCAGAGCTTCACTTCTTCGTCTTCAAGTTGCTTTCCTTAAATTTGCCATTATTGGTTCATGTTACACCATTGAGCTCTATTATCAACTTGGGTGAAAACTGGTACACGATGTAAAAATTTATTGGTTCCCAATTGGAGCGCAGTTTTATTACAATTTCTTCCATCCAATTTCAATTTGTTTATTCCGTCTAGTTTTATTTTGTTTGTTTCATTGAAAAGTTTTCAAGCTCTGTCAAAAAGTATAGAGTTTTCTGCGAACTTTGTCAACCTTAATGCCACTTCATCTAGAACTATAGTTATGATGCTGACTAATTATAATGCGCCAATTTGGATGCTGATAATCGGACAAACGCTGTAGCTTTTAGTTTCTACAACTTGACAAAAGAAACTTCTGTAAATTATTTTGCTCCTATTTTTTCGCAAAATGTCCAAAATTAACTCAGCAGACATTATTTTACGAGCAACGGCAGAAGACGGGAACCAGAGCCTGGGCGCTGAGGGGGGCTTCAGCCTAGATCCAGCCAGTCAACAGCTGTTTTCCGTTATCTCCTATACCCTTTTCATTATGGGCTCTGCAGCTTTTTTCGCAAATCTGGCTATTTTTATTCTATTACTGCAGAAACCGAACAAACAAGCGAGTGAAATACTGGTTTTATGCAATCTGGTCATAGATGCTATTTACGCCCTGAACTTGGCCTGGGTGGGCTTGTGTAATGTTGCTGATATTTTTGTCGATAAAATCGTAGGCTTGAAGTTCCAATGCATAATTCGCAGAATCCCTTACACTTTTTTAATTCTAGCTTCACTTTTACTTCTCATAATTATGACGCTCAATCGTTATGTAGCTGTAAAAATGCCGTTTCGCTACAAAGTTTTGTTCAAAACGGTAAATGTTATCAAATACTTGTTGGTTATTGGCATTTTAAGCACTCTATTCACTAGTTTTGACCTGGCGCTGTGTATATTGGACGCTCACGAGGCTGAAAGTTACTCCCATATCTTTACGCTAGTTTGGGTTTATGTTAAGTTTCTGCTAATTGGAGTGGTGGCCGTTCTCATGTTCGTCATGTACAAATCCATCTCCAAACAATTCGGAGACAACAACTTCTGGCTCCCAATTTTGCTACCGTTCAAAGCTTTAGTACTCTGTATATGCTGCAAAAAGATCATAGAACCCCCCAACTTAGCAGACCATTGTGCAAGTCAGCACACTTTGAACCGGCCACCTGTTAGCAGAACAGAGCACCAAGCAGCCACGAAAAGTGCAAGTGCTGCCGCCGCGACAGCTCCAAAAGTAACGACAAGCGGAAACTTCCTGAGACCGGTTATCAAGTTGTCAGTCGTCAGAAGTAACTCGACCCCTGACGTGTCAAATGCAAACACGGATTTGCTCGATGTGATGCGAAGAGACAACGAGCAACACGCGAACTCCACCGCAGAAAACTCAAAGGATGTGCAGCCAGCGAAAGGTTCAAAACTGGATAAGCACACTTCACTTCTGGACGTGAACAAGATTGAAGTGGACAAGTCGCCGCTGCACTCAGCCAGCTCCTCATCGCTGCAAGGTGGAGAGAGAAGAGTCAGCTCGGGTTCTCGACTCTCGCGCCAGTTCAAAATGCTAGGATCACTAGTGACTCATCACCGCAAACACCACGATCATGACGAGAAAGCAGATCACGCAAAAGCATCTGCCGAGCAAAAGCGGGAGAAAAAGAAACATCACCTCACTACCACTTTCTTCTTCATAAGCGTCATTTTCATCATCGTGTCACTTCCCAGCTCTTTAGCCCAAGTCATGAGTCACTGGTTCCCGGACCGCATTTCCGGTAACTTTTCCTGGCGACTCTACCTGATAACCGAAACCTTGTACGGCCTCAACTTTCTCCTCAACCCCTATCTCTACTCGTTCAATAACTCCTACATCAAACGACGCCTCACCAGCCTCTTCTCAAGCGTGCTGCGAAAAGTGAGCAAAAGTACTCGCAGAAGTGGACTCCACCAGGAGTGCAACAACAAACAAGTGCACCAAATAAGACCAAGTGCTGTTCACGAAAGGAAACGTTTGGAAGATTGTGACGTATGACGACACTAAAAAACTTTAACCTTTCAATTTGAATTGTCAAAAGTACATTTGCTTGTTCTTTGGTTGCTATGAAGTTTGAAATGTTCCTTAATTACAAGCCCCGCCCGACGTGAAATAATTTACTCCTTATACACTCAACTTTAGATAATTTCTCTCTGATCCACGAAAGTCATTTATGCGAGATGAAGAAACAGAAATCGCCCGATTTCTTCCAAAATTTTACAAACCGGGCTAGCGTATCAAAAAAGATGTGCATCAGTTTTTATTTTGTCAGTTTTATTCATCCATGATGATATTAATCAGAATTTGAACGTATCTTAATGTTAACTCCACAATTATTCGCTAAATAGTTTTTGGTGTTGTAACTGTGTAAACTGTTTTTGTTAATTTATGTTTTTATTTCATTTTTAACTCTTCAAAACAAGATTGATCACATCATCAGGGAGAAGCACTGATTGTTTCGACTGCAATTTAATTTTTTGGAGTGGTTTAAATTAAAAAACTTGATAAGATATTCGAACAAAAAGAAATTATTTCGTTCTGAGTCCACCCTTACACGCTATGTAAAGTACAAGTGATTTATTTTGTATATATCAAAATTTTAAATTGACGTGGGGCATTCAACAGTTCCAAAACTAAAAATGTGTTCAACAGTCTTAAAAACTGATCAAATTTTTGGAAATTTGAGCTTTTTTGGTGATTCAATGGCAGTTTTGCGTGAATACTGTTTTATTTTGGAGCGAAGCCAAGAAAAAACTGGCAACCTGTTGAGTTAATTGTTTGTTCAGAAAATCTCATTTCGCCGAGCTTGGGTAATTTTTGTTTACTTAACAAAAAGTATCAATTATAGAGCCATTTTTGTCTTTTCATCTTCCGTCCGTTTGAATATAATTACTGTCTGTGAATGAGTTGGGATGAGTTAAAATTTCTTAAAATAATATTTGGTACTGTTGAAAAAGATTTTGATTTTTGTCAACGTTTTACCTCGGCTCTGTTGTACTGCCCCAATAGAACAAAAAGCTAGCTTGAATCCAATTTGAAATGGTTTCCAAGAAGGTTCAATTATTCAAATATCCGCTCACGCGTTGATAAAACGAAAAACATCGCTCGTTAATTGTCCCAAACTGGCTATAATAACCTCCAAATAAGTTTACAAAAAGAGATCATAGGTGAAATATCTTTTTTTTGGCTGAGGGCAACAATACCTTTCGTATGTTATGAAAAAACCCTCAAAAGTTGCTAGTTGAAGAGTCAAATTTTGTATGGAGAAAAAAACCACCCCGTTCTCAAAATTTCTGTGAACTTCATCAAAAGTAGTCGGATAAATTGAGCTACTATAAATTGAGGTACTATAACTTGCAACAGTTTTAATCATACAAGTTTAGCTCAGATGTCAAACAAGACTGCTCGTATATCAGGGCGAAGCTGGTCTCGGATAGTTTTTGTTAACTGGTCTCGAAGAGTGCTTAAATTTGAGTAAAATTAATTTGATTAATTAAGTTGTTCTCAGTTCCAATTGGGACGATTATGAGTGGGTTTAATTTGCATCATATAAAAATTTCGCGTAATGAAACTATCAAAGTTTTATTCGAGCAGTGATGGCATCCGCATTTTAGTTTAGTGCAAGCATATCTGTTTAGCAATCCTAAGACTTCCGCATCGATACTCAGGCGCTGTCAACTTTTGTGAAATAGAATTGAATAAATAACAACCCAACCATATATATTCCTCACTTTTATCGAAAGTAGGAACAATGATTTGATGAACTCAATCGCCTGGGTCTAGGTTAAAGCTTCACTTCAAATGTATTTTACTTTAAATGACGTCCAGTGAAGTGAGAAAAAAAGTTTCGAGGAAGACTGTTGTTCGATTTTAACAAAAATTTTGCCAACATCAACTTTAGGTAGACGAAGTCAAATTTTTGAAAAAACCGTTCAGAAAGCCCGTTTTTAGGCAATTTTTGGACATGTGTAACCCAAAAATTGTGTTTTTTTGGCACGCGCTTCCCCTCTCCCCATTACCGCCTTTAAAAAATTTACACTGTAAAAAGGTCAACTGCCACAAATAAACTGATATAAAAAATTTTGAAGGCCGATTAGCCAATAATTTGGCAAATGATGTCACGCATTTGAAAAAAAAACGGTTCATGTTTTCAATATAAGAAATGTTTCTGGAACAACGATGCATACAATGGAAAAACGGTCACAATAACTTTATATTACAAAAAGAAAAAGAATTGATTGCGGTCTAACTTTTAGCGTTTTTTAAAACAAAACGGATTCAAAATGATGTTTGCATTCTAAAACTTGCGATCTCTCAAAAAAAAGTTTTAGCCAATTTATCTGCAAGTTTCTGCCGCATTGAACTATAAGGATTTAAAACTGATTTTATTCGTAATGCGACAACTCGCAACAAAAGACAATTTGCGATAGAAGACAACCCGCCTTAAATGACAACTTGCAAGCCGCACCTTCGTTTTGCAAGCTTGCCAATAGAGGCTAGGACTTTATTCAATACTTAGGGCCTTTTAACGCCGCGAAGCGATAAAAGACGCGTGGCGCGACAATCAGCAATTTTAAGCCAATCTTTTTGGGTCTTGAATTAATTTTCAAACTTTGCGGGTCGTCGCTTTCCCTATACTGTTCAAACGAGTTGTCCTTTGTTTCAAGTTATTTTTGGTTGCGAGCTGTCGCATTGCCGATATTAGCATAAGGCTTTAAATAGGTGTCTTTTTAAAAGGATTTGAATCATCTCAAATCGATTTAGTCTGAATAAAATAATTTTCATTCATCATTTTTAATATTTCTTATACAAAATATTAACAGATTTTCTTGCCTCGATCGACACCGAAGAAATTTGAGTAATTTATGAACAAAATTTCTAAAAGTGGTATTCAGTTAACTCTGTGTGCTAATGTTTCATCTAAAACATTATAAGAACAACTAAGTGCGAAGTCCATGGAGCAACAATAGTTATGGCCAAGGAGTTTTTAATTTTTTTGTGGTTCGTTTGAGAAAAATGCGCAAAACTGTTGATTTAAAAAAATTTGTTTGAAAACATTTTTTTTTAGTGCGGTCTTCCTTAAGTTCAATTCATTCAAGAGGTCCCTCAAAAACTGAAAGTTCACAGTGAAAAAAATTCAAACTCTTTTTGCATCAAAACTTTCTTATAAAAATCGAATTTAATCAATATTATCTCCTTTTTGCCAGCGCGGCTGTTATGGTTTTTGTTACGAAAACAACGGCAAAAAAATCCAAATATGTTTTTTTTGATACAGTTTGACTTGTTACAAAAAAGTTTTAATAAAAACAATTCGAGTGGTGCTTTCACTGATGAAATCGTTCTACTCTCCAGTTCCAGATCGAGTAGAGGTTTTTTGTTCCGCGATCGACGAGGAAGTAGCCTAGATCTCCACCTCAATGGAAAGTTGCTTGAGACCAACCTTGATCTTTGCTAGTTGCTCGCGAGGGAACCTATCGGGTATTTTTGGGGGGTAAAAAGTCTTGAAAATATTTTTTCTGAAAGTAGAAAAGAACTACTGACCGATAAACCCACAGGCGAATAACTATGATTCTCCTCTCAGACAAACATGAGCTACGTTTGCAATTTATTTATTGCATACATCGATGAATGGCATGTAACTCGCAAATCTTAATTGATTAGAACAAAAAGAATATTCAGTTTCTGTAATTTTAGAAATTACTACTCGCATAAAAAATTTGCTACTGATTTTAAATTAAAAAAAAATAAAATGACTTCTTTCGTTTTGAATAAACAAAATTTCACTTTTTTAATCACAATTTTTGACGATTTAAATCCACTTCAATTTATTTTTTCTAGCGTGAAGCTACAGTTTGAAGCTAAATACGCGACAGATACAAAAACGTACTTCTAATCTTTCTGAAATATTGAGCCTGGCTTGCTTTCAATCGGTTGCTTATAAAGTACGTTAGGTATATTAGAAAAATCATGAAGATTTCAAATCGAGAAGTTCCTGAATTAAGTAAGCAATTATCAGTTGTTAGAATACAAACATATTTTAAAAATCGATTCGTTGTAATTGTTCCGTTTTTCAAAAAACTTGACTAATTTTCGTGCTCGGTGTGATTTTGTCTCCAGACAATTTTCGGCTTTTTAACTACCGTTTTTTCACTTAATTTTTAAAAAAACTATTCGAAAGGTATAGTTTTCTCAATGTTACAAGGATAGTTCACCTGTGGCCTTTTTTCGTAAAGTTATGAAGTTTAAAGACAATTTGAGACAATTAACGCATAGGCAAAGTTTTAATATGTCTTAGAAATCATTTCAAAGTGAATTGAGGCATGCTATTTGGGGTATTTGATATGTGCTATCACCGAAACATATAAATTCGTGCTTCACATGGCGTGAGTATGATGATGTGAACACTACTCATGGATCTTCAAAAGGCAGTCGGAACGCTCAGAGATTTGTCGTGATGCAAGCGGTCTTGTTTGTAGTAAAAATCTGTGTACAGTATTCTTGACTCTTTTTATCGATTAAAATATTTAAGTTTATGCTAAGCGTTTCAACTTTAGGCTAATTGTTCATCAGCCAAATGCACTAGCACCCTTTTGAACATGTGAATACCAGTTAAAAATATTTATTCTTAAAAATTGTCGGGACCTAATGAAATGCACATGTACCTTATAGCATGCGATAGTTGCTTCAATTAGATTTTCTTTAAGAATAAAATGAGCAAGGACAGATTAAAATAAGATTAAAGTAAGATTAAAATTTTGAAAAAAAACGCAATTAAACTCTTAAAGCAATACAAAAAATGTTTGCTTAATTACATTATTCGTAATCATGAGTTGCGCAATCTTGAAGCAGCGATCCAGTCATTTGCATTCTCTTACATGGTCAAATTATTTGGCTCTGAATCTACCAAGGGATGTTGATCAAGGGATGTTATCAAGGGATGTTATCAAGGGATGTTATCTTGCAAGATCTAGCAAGAATCTTGCAAGATTCTTTTAAAGAAGATGCATCTCTTTAAAAGATCTTGCAAGATCTTGTAAGACAACTTCCTTTAAAGATAACCTAGCAAGATCTTCTAGCAAGATCTTTAAAGACATGATTTTTGTTTGTGAATAAAAACTAACACAAGAAGACAAGTTTATTTTTTTTTGTACCAGTAGACCCTTTGCCAGTAGCCACTAGAAAAATTTAAATTCTTCAACATTAAAAGAAAAAAAACGAACTTAGTTTTGTATCGGATTTATGTGAACACAGCATACCAAATATCTCGAACTAATTGTCTCTATTCGTCAAACTTTTGACAAAAAAAATATAAAATGAAATTTATCTGCTATATGA